CGTGCACAGACCAACAGGCCCTAGCTACGTGAGCAACCCATAAGTGTTGAAGCACATACCTGAATTCTAATCTCAGGTATATATTCGGCCAGCTCGTGCTCAATTTCATATTCACTCCTGCCTCGATTCTGGTGGGGGGGTCTGCGCTACATGGCTGCGCGGACCCTTCAGACAACCTGCATGGGCTGTCTGAGCCGCGTTAGGGGGATTCCCCCACCCACTCCAAAAAAAAAAAGAAGGAACTTTTACATATTGTGGGTGTGATGCGGTAGGGGGGGTAAGCCTCTGGTTTTATTTTTTTTTGCAGTTTTGGGGTTCGTAGAACGAGGCCCACCACCCCGTAGTCCGTAATGCGCGCGTGCGCCCCCTGGGGTTGCGTTCAGTTTTTTCATGCCACGTGGTGCGCAGCGCGTTTGAACGCGAATGAACGTGGCCCCGGGGGGTATGAACGTGCGCGTTTGAACGTGAACGCGCGTTCAGCGCGTTCACCCGGTTACAAAGCAACACGCTCATGCACTCATGCAGACGGTCGGCACCCAGCGATCCCTATCATCACGCCTGGAAGCGCGCACACACATGTACTCATGAAACCCTCCTGGACAAGGAGACATCCAACATCCATAAACTCTCATACCACAGCATGCATACAACAGAATACCCATACATCGAGACCTTGCATACATCACACTGGGACAAAGCAACAATGGAGATAAAAGCGAGCTCCTTAGTATACAAAATTTCTCATACGACTGGCCGCCCTAGGCCCAGCCCCCAATCCGTCAGAATCACCGACATCCATAGCCACAAGGCCCTGCCGTTGTCGGCGTCCGATCTCCACCACAGCTCGGTCCCTCCGACTGTCTTACCCCAAGTCTATCGCTAAGCCCGCCCCACGTCGGCACTCCGCCCGTCAAATGGGCTCGTCAAGCCTGTTCGATGCCGCGGATCTCGCGCATACCTCGCGCAACATTGCAGCCGAGATCAAAGAGAGTGAGAGGAACGCGTTGCGAGAATTTATAGCGCAGAAGGCGGCAAAGAGCCAGCACGAAGCACGGGGTGTAGATGGGCAGGACAAAAGAAGGGCAGAGGTTGCAGAAGGATTGAAGGAGGCGAGTCGAATGATCTGCGTGATTGGGGTGGTCTTCCAAGTGGGGCGCGCCTTCTGCTCTCACCACATAGACCCAACCATCCCGATCACACATCCAATCGTTCGGAAGGAGGGGTAAGGACTCAGGAGGGGATCGGACTTTGCTTGAGGGAAGACAGAGGCATGCAAGAGTGGAATGCGCGGCAGGTAGGGAAGATGGCGCGGGGATGCAAAGCGGGAGAAATGGTTTACGCGGCGCGCAAAAGTTCAAAATTGTAAAATTCCTACCCACGCTAATTCCCAACTGTTTCTTGAATTTCTCGGCGCGGCCGCTAACCGACCATGCTAAAAAGTCATCCGGGCCAGTTCTCTTTTCGAAAAATAAAACAGAAAAAAAAAAAGGGAAAAAAAATAATAAAAAAAAAATAGAACCCGCTCGTCCCGATCACCTAGAACCCGCACTTCGAGGCTTACGTGGGATCCTGGCTTATCACAACGCGCCCCACCCTACGCACAAGCGCACTGTCAGCTTTCTTGAAGCTCAGGGCAAACTCACAGCAGAACTTTTTCCACCAGCAATGAATGACATTGTCTGGAGGTGATTGCAGTTAGTTCGAAGCAAGCGTGAGCGCGAGGGGAGCGTACCAGCTCGCAGGTCCGGCGGTCTCGAGACCCAACGCCTCGGTGTCACCGAGGAGGACCGTACGCGTTGATGTCATCACTGGAGGTTGCTAGAGGGTCAGCCAATGATGGATTTGACTGACGGGGCAGATGAAGGTGTAGGCGAGATGAAGACATCTCGTGGTCAGCGTGAAGAAGGCGTCCTTGCGCAGGGATTACCGCATGTAGCGAGTCTAGAGGAGATGGCTTCACCCGAGGAACTCCAGCGTCGGGCAGAGGGGTGGTTGTCCGAACTGGAAGATACACAGCGACGTATGCAGCAGATTGCCAGAGTCCTGTCCTCCGTGGCACAGGCCTGGCCGGTGGTGGATTGGGGGGGAGCTGCCTTGGCTGCATGGTTGGAGAATAAGCTTCATCAAGTGGAGACTATCCTTTGGCAAATCCGGGAGGATCCGACTCTGGACGCTTTCGTTGATTGGTGGCGGGCTGATGATTTGATCTTCAATTGCAACACGATCTACGAGCAGGGGATAAACTATTATGATGCGCTGAAAGAGAGGCTAGCGAGTGAAGTGTGGAGGGAGGCTGAGGTCTCCAACCTTGTCGTCGCTCATTCAGGGGAGTCTGCATTACCAGCAACGACAACATCATCAACAATAACAACAGGATCAGACACAACAACGGCGGCTACCCCGGAGTTCATTGGGGCGATATCAATAACTGCGGCAACAATGCCTATGACGATGACATCCTATACTATATCAACACAACACTCAACAGCAACAAAGATCTCGACAATTTTGACGGCAGCAACGACAACATCATCAACAATAACAACAGTATCAAACACAACAACGGTGGCTACCCGAGAGCTCATTGGGGCGACAGCTCCCACCGCATTACGGGCGATCACGGTAAGTGCAACCCTGTATCCTCTGCCCCCCCCTGGGTGTGTGGTTCTCCTGCAGTCTTTCGAAATTGTGCGGGAGCTGCAGGGCGGACGAGGGTTACTGGCTGGGTTGTCCGTACAGAAGAGGATGGCACTGATTGAGAGCAGTGGGTGGGGGGATGGGAAAAATTATGTGCCGATTTGAGCTGCCGCGTGGAGAATATGGGATGTCTATTGATCCGTGCCTCGCAAGTCTAATTTTTGTCCCTACTGTGGTGCCGTGAGGGTCAGCGCACTCACTACATGCGAGGGCCTTGTCTAATTACTGCCCTATTGGAGAGATTGTGGTTGTGTGCAGATTGCTGAATGGGAAATACAGGTCCCATGCTTTTTGAGTGATCCGCTGCCGTTTTCACGAGATTACAGATGTAGTGTTTTCTGATAGGTTTAATTAGGACTGCTATGTCTTCCCCTCCCCTCTCATGATGTCGAATGCCCAAGGTAGAGGTAAATGAGTGGAGATGGGTAGGGCGATGATGTTAGGGTTTCGTAGCGTAGTTTATCTTCAGACCCTGCCATGACTTCCCCTCCCCTCACGATGTTGAATGATTCATGTAGCAGTAAATGATTAGTGTATGGCAGGGTGATGATGGTAGGGTTTCGTCAAGCAGTCAATCCCCTCCACAGAGGGCAATCAATGTTGCCCATTGGTTTAAAGTCAGACCCAGCGCATATAAGTCAATCGCATGTCTGTTTAATCAAAAGATTACAAATGTTCAAGGACGCTGGACCCGCTTTCCAGCAGGTGTTGCTCCCCACCAATAGATGGAGCCTCGCCGATGGTGCTCGTGGTGTCTGCTCTTATCAGCACCCCTAGCATTAGTTCGGTTTGTTTTCTGTAAAAAAAAAAAAAAAAAAAAAAAAAAGCAGGTCTGGTGGGTGGTCTATGACGAACCACTTCCCGACCCCATGCTATCTTTCGTACCCCTCGACTCAATTCCCCCTTTTATATCATGCCGACCCAACAAAGCCCCCGTCGCTTTTCTTGATTTCAGGTGCCTTGTTTAGGCCCCCATTTTTAAGAGGTTCTATTGATTCTTGGAATTCTGCTTTTTGTAATTCGGGAAATGCATGGGAAATTACGAGCACCTTAGTGAGCGCACTGGGAATCAGGCTCGACAGTTAGGAATTCCGAAATAAGC